CGCTGTGAGTATCCATGACGTCACAATAGGTGTAGAAGCAGAGGTGCATCAGTGTAGTGGGGGATGACGGGAAGGAAGAGCGGAGTCTGAAGCGCTGTTGTGCGTCACACAGTGGTCCCAACTGCACTAACCAGATAAATAATTAAAAACTTGCTGTCTGCATCAGCAAAAATGCTGCAAAACAAAAAAGAACATAAAATGGTTTTCCAAATAATAGCATGCCGACGGCTCTAGAACAACAAGTAAAATACTCTCGTGCAAGACAGCAGCAAATAAAATATTTTTACAAAAATAGTCCTCGCGAATACCGCAAGAAGTTAGTACCGTATGTGTATGCAGTACATTTTTTCTACATCAATGATTATCAAAAATGTTGCTGATCCATAATGTAGCTCATTAGTAACAAATATTTAATGGCGGGCGGTCTCTTCCTTGGAGGCATGCAGTCGCACGACGCTATGTCGTAAGCAGTAACGAACTGACTGCAAGAATTCAGTCGGTACACACAATATGAGAATAGTCTGAATAACTGTATTAAATATTTGCATTATCCAGCGAAACTTGAAACAGTGTCATGGTTTTTGTACTTTTTCTCGCGTTCCTCGATATCTATCAAAGCCATAGACAAGTCTCTACAAAACCGTATGCTGCATAGTTTTCTTTCAATTTCTGCATACTGTAAATTAAGTATTATAAACAGTAATTGGAAAAATATTTAAACCTAAATACTTATTTTTTAGGTGAATATCATAGAATAAGAAAATAATGTTGAAAGTGATAGAGATGCTTTATTAGAGAGAAAAGATAATATTATTAATTACAAACATGTCTGGAGCATAAAATATCTATTACGGCCAAAAAAAATGAAATTGGAAAAAATGTGTCTTCAAACTATGTTCATCTTTACATCATGTTATGCGGCTTTCAAAAACACATTGTTGATTGAATACCTGCTTGAAAACGTCAGACAAAGACGCTTCGGTATGCGTATTCGGCGTCATTTGGGCCGACTGTGCGGCGCGGGGGGCAGATAGGAAGCCGGGCGGGGGCGGGGGCGGGGGCGGGGGCGGTGTGTCTTTCAGTCCAGCTGACGGCGCAGGAAATTGAGTCGCGGACGGCTATTCGCCTCTCGGCTGGCGGCGGGCAGGCAGGCAGACGGGCTGGCGGGCGATGTGCCGTCGCCGTCCCGTGCTCCAGCACAGGGGAATCAGCAGCGAAGTCGCCGCCGGCCCTACCCTGCTCGGCCCGGACCTACACGCTGTCGGGGAAAGACTGCGGTTCAGACGCTTGTTCGCTCCTGTTACGGGTTTAATTATGTAATTTCTTAATGTTAATTGAATTGAATTAACGCCTTATTTTCCATGGCGAGACTCAGGTCATCGGACCCGCTTTTCCGTCTGACCACGCAAATTTTGGTACCCCACTAGACGGAGAACGGAGGTGTATTTCTTGGGCGACGAAACGGTATTTTGGCCAGAGGCTTCATTTAGGCTTGAGGATGTTATACATGGAGTAAATCTACTAAAATTGGACAGCCAGTCCGTTTACTTCCCTTCGAAAGGACAACGTATGAAGGATTTTCCCGCCCTTTAAAATCCACGGCTTCGATCGGGTTTGAACCTGCAAACTTGGGTCCG